CATCACCAATATATGCTTTTTGAAACTATAAAAATGCATAAATATTGGTAGAATGGTTATCTGTCACAACAGCTCTTATCTTAAATTTAGATTGGTACATTGAGGTAATACACTCATCAGTTTCTTTTTTCAAACATAAACCTGTTATGTAAACTTTAGGTAAGGATTTTAAAATAAAAACAAAAATAACTTCTTTGTAAAGATTATTTTCTCAATCTTTATCAAATTGTTTACAACTTTGATATTGAGCTGCTTTTTAGAAGTACATCTTAACACAAGAAGCAGATAATCACTTAACAACAAATTTTTATCAATAATATTTCAAATATAATATAGTTTTTTAATTTGTAATTTTCAACACTGCGAAACCATTTCTATAAAGAAATATGAAAATATGAAATATGATAAGCATTTATTAGGCAATAAAAAATTAAGAATTTTATTAACAGATATTGACTCCAAAACAGTTGGTATGCCTGATATGTCTTGGCCTAATGTAAATAAATGGCCTGTTTTGTTGCATTTTAATTGCTGTATGTATAAAACATACATCATAATAGAGTACTTACATTTCAAAACATTGTTTTGTAGTGTAAATATTTCAAAGAAAAATGATTTAGAGACCGCCTTAAATATTTGATAAGTACTAAAAAGTCTATACAATCATATTTACAGTGTGATTGTATAGAAGACATTTAGATTATGGAGCTTCACAACTTAATTTTGCTGCAAGGCTCCGAGCTAGCTTGGAACGGCCCTGTATGAAATGAAATTCACAAGCATAGAGTAAACAAAAGAAAAAAAAATTAATGAAATACATAACCAAACGTTTAATTAGGTATATAAAATACTAATGAATATATTAAAGATAAAACTTTAAGAGAAACAAAAAAACTAGATAATAGTTATAATAGTATATGTTATTTTTATGAAATGAACAAACAAAAATTAAAGATCGAATGTTAAATCGATTGAAAAGTTAAATCGAAAATATATAAGGTTTTTAAGATTTTTACTCGACTAAATCGACTTTTAGTCGATAAGTAGTTTTTTTTTTTTTTTTTTTTTTTTTTTTCGTTCTTTTATTACATGTAAAATAAGCATTTCGTTACAATATTTTAAATACAAATATATAATATTAAAATTATATATAAATATAATGGTCGTTATTAAAAAATAAAAGAACGCGGGGACTCGTAGAAGACCATACGGTCTTGTCGTCGAGTACCGCTAAGAAATGTTCGTGTTAAAATTTAAAAGATAATTACAAGGTTAAAAAATAAAAATAAGTTAACAAAAGTAAGAAACTTAAAATAATCCATAATAAATACAAGATGCGTTATATCTATTATATATGTAAATTATAGTTGTTAAGGATACACATATACTTTTTATAAGTTCATGTTTAAATAAATGGTAAAAATAAAGATCACAAAAAATATCAGAAGTACATTGTTAAATCATCGATTGTAAAAATGAGTTTTTTAAGCTTTTGTTTAAAAGAAAAGTAGTTACTTTGATTAATAAAATCCTCAGTAAAATTTTTTAAAACTATTTTATTCCATAAGAATGGTCCGCGGTAATCAATACAAAATTTAAAAAGATTTGTTTGAAAATTGGGCTGCTTAATAAAATTATTATTGCGTAAAATGTATTTATTTTTATCTTTTGATGAATACAAATTATGGAAAGAAATCCAGGATAAATTGGTTTTACATTTAAACGTAAAACAAAGAATATTAAAAATATTAATCTCATATATATTAAAAACTTTCATTTCAAATAAAAGAGGCTTGGCATGAGTATAACGGTCTTTAAAATATATAAGACGTGCTACATGCTTCTGCTGACAATAAAGAGGTTTAAGTTTGTTTTTATTTGCACTACCCCAAGCAATGTTTGCATAGTTTATGTGGCAATGAATAAATGAGTGATATAATTGTACTAAAGTTTGTTTATTTAAGACATTTCTCCTTTTGTACAATATTCCTATACTTTTTGAAATTTTACTTGATAAGTTTTTAATGTGATTTTTCCATGTAAGATTTTCATCTAAACAAACTCCTAGAAAATTAGTTACTGTTACTTTTTTAATTTGTATATTGTCAATAACAAGTGGAGGCATGTTAATTGGCAGTTTATGTTTTTTGGTAAGAGGATGGAAAAGAATCCATTTAGTTTTATCAATGTTCAGGGATAGTTTGTTTGTCTTAAACCAGTCAGATATTTTGATTAACTCGATATTCACGTTATGAAATAAAGTAGGAATGCTTTTGTGAGACATAAATAAATTAGTGTCATCAGCAAACATAATTGTTATTAAATTCGAGACTTTGTATAGATCATTAATATAAATAAGGAAGAGAAGAGGTCCTAATATGGATCCTTGAGGAACTCCACATGTAATATTTAACAAATTTGATGAAAATGATTTATCAACATAAACAAATTGTTTACGATTAGTTAAATAACTTTTCAACCATTTTAAAACATTGCCTATTATAACATAATATTCTAAATTTTTAATAAGAATTTTATGATCAATTGTATCAAACGCTTTCGCTAAATCAATAAATATTCCCAATGTAAATTTAGAATTGTTAAATGAGTCTGATATACTTCTTGTAAGCTGAATAGTTGCATGCTCTGTTGAATTATTTTTTTTGAATCCATATTGCATGTTATATAATAATTTGTTTGTTAAAAGGTGATTGTATATTCTGTTGTACAAAATTCTTTCTAAAGTTTTAGAAAAAACAGAGAGGATGGAAATTGGGCGATAGTGTTTTACATTAGTTTTTTTTCCTTCTTTAAATATAGGAATAATTTTTGCTATTTTTAAATCATCAGGAAAAACTCCCTGATTAATAGAGCATTTAAAAATTTGGAAAAGTATGTCTTTTAAAACGTCAAAACAGCTTATAATAATATTTCCGTTGACATCATCAGGACCAACTGCTTTATTTGACTTTAACAATTTAAAAGTACTTTCAAACTCTTCAAAAGACAAATCAAAAGAATTTAGATACGAGTTTAGAGGGTCATATGTTGCTTTTATTAATTTTTTAGGTTTCGGAATTTTTTCGGCTGGGTTTGGTCCTACAGATACAAAATATTTATTAAATTCAGAAGCAATTGATTTTTGATCAAGAAGAAGATTATCATCTACCTTAATAACTGAGGGAAAAGATTGCGAAATTTTTTTAGTGTTACCAGTAATTTCGTTCATTAGTTGCCAAGTGCGTTTTGAGTTTAATTTGTATTTTTCAAGTAAATTAGTGAAATATATATTTTTTGAATTTTTCCTTAGGCGTTCAAATAATCTTACGTAATTTTTATAAATAGTCTTACTCTCAGTTGTTTTTGATTTTAAATATTTAATATAAAGTTTTTGCTTAATTTTTGAAGATTTTAGAATACCTTTAGTAATCCATGGCGATACAATTTTTTTATATTTGCAATTTACTTCTACTTTGGGAAAATTGATATCATAAATTTCATAAAAAATTTTAAAAAAGGATTTGTATATTAAATTAATGTCTTCAGAAAAGTTTATAATGTTCCAATTTATTAACGATATTTTAGTTGATATTTAAAAGATTCTAGGTTGTTATTATGAAAAATTCGTTTTTTAAATGATTTTTTTTCATAACATATAATTTTCATATAGTTGATTAAGATTTTTCAAAGTCGACTAATTACAACTTTTAGTCGATTTTTTTATTATTATTATTTAGTCGAAGTCAATAACAACACTACAAATTAATCAGCTAAATTTAACGACCTAAAGAATTAGTCGAATAATTTTAATTATAAAAGTTAAAATATATAAACATTAGAACCTAAAATTGAACACCAAAAAAATTTATAGCACAGCGGGGCAGAATAGCTTTAAAACTGGACATTTTTTTTTTGCAGGAGATCTAAACAAAATTGTCTGCTTTGTGTTTTTCTAGAAAGTTAACAACTAATACCTTAAATTACAAATGGTCAGTTTGGTGCTGCTTATTAGTTTTTAAAAATCACTATCCTGAATAATATGTCAAACCTGTGGCATCAATTTGCGTTTAAAATCACTATCCTGTATATGTCAAACTTGTGGCATCAATTTGTGTTTAAAATCACTATCCTGAATAATATGTCAAACCTGTAGCATCAATTTGTGTTTAAAGCAATAAATTGAACATTAAAATCATTTAAATAAACTGTAATTTTTTATTTTATTAACAAATGTAAATAATTTTATAGATTGGTGAATAAATGAATTGTTATAAAAAAATACGCGGATAAGATGGACCAGAGAACCTTTTATACATTACCACCAAATAATGTTTCAAAAAACCTTTTTTCATTTTAGTCGTAGAGTTTCGTACAGTTTTGAAGCAATTTGAAGTTTTGAATTCTGCGCGGCGTGATAGAAAATAACATAAAAAAAAAACAAAAAAAAAAAAACGTAACTGCCAACAATTATAAAAAGTAATCTACATACATCTACTAATAGGTATGGCCTCTCGCAGCCTCTGCTTCATTAGATAAAAACGCAGACTTTCTTTTTTTTTTTCAATACTCAATTGTTTTAGAAAATAAGATAAAATGTATTTATGGAAAACGGTTAGGATATCTGGAAAACATAAATGTGTCTATGGAAAACATTTAGGATATCCGGAAAAACTAAAAGTTGAATAAAATATCCGGAATTCCGGAAATATCCGGAAAAAGATAATCCCTGTTTAGTAACCATCGCATTTAGAATGGTTTTTTTTACTTGAATACTTATGATTCCCTTATCATTAAATGAAAACTGTAAATCCCTTTCTTTATGATTGAATGAAAACTGTAACTCTTGGTAACAAAATTATCAAGATAAAATCAGAAGTAGTTATCTAAGATAACAAAAAAAAGTATATGATTAAAATCACTTCAGCTTTTCTCACTTTTTTTTATACAGAGTTTGGTTTCAACAAAAATTTAGGAGAGTACCTTATTTAACAAATTCAAAGTAAGAATTACAAAAAATATATATTTTAGTACATATATATAAACTTATTTCTTTTTTGCTTTCTTTTTTTTACTGCCAGTAACCTTCGTTACAGTATCTTTGGTTGATTTTACTGGCTCCATAGAACTCCATATTTTTTCCTCTTCTTCGTCATCCAGTTCATCTTCTGCTTCTCTCTTTTCTCCGAGAACTGCAGCTGATACCTTAAATATAGAAATAGTATGGTTTTGAATGTATGTGTAGTCTTATCATTTTCAGGTTATCATACATTTTAAACATCTACTAGAAATAAGGTTTAAAATATTATACACCTCGTTGAAATTTTGTTCAAATCTAATTTTAACCATAATTATTAACCTAATATCTAATATAATATCTAATGTACGAAGGAAAGAATGAATATGAATACATTTTTTTGGCTTCTAGCATCCTGGATAGATTTAAGGCAGAGGCTAAGGAGAGAGTATTTTTGTGGTTGATCTAAGGGAAGATCAACTTGAGATAAACCGCAAAAAATGATCCACGCTATAAATTTCTTTAAGTATCTTAAAACTATTACCATAACAAAAATCGCCCACAAATTCTTTTTTTTATTTTATATTTGTTTTTAATCTGTTTATTTCTAATTCCAATTAAAAACATTTAAACTAAATGTATTTTAAAATGTGGTTACTTTGGGCAGTTTTTACATTAATAATCAAAAAGGGGGTGGGGGTGGGGGGAATTTTTTTGTTACAATATAAGTATTTTTTATTAAAAAGTTCAGCTTATAAATCCGAACTAATATTTTTTACAAAACACGCTTGAAACTATTTAATTCTAGTGTGGCTTGCAGTCAAATGCGCATTTTTGAAGAGCTGTTTTATCATAATTTCAATAGGATTTAATATGCTGATATAAGTTTAATACTTATATCAGCATAAAAAAAGCACTATGGTTTCTGAGACCCGATTTTTTGGGATAAGGGATTGTCCATAAATTATGTAACGTAAACTTTCACAATAAACAAAACAAAAAATTAAAAGTTTTCCTTCGCACAGAGTCTTAATTTGAATAAAAAATCAAAATAGCCCATCAAGTTTAATGCGTAAAAGAGCTTAATATCTCCTACTTCTGTTTTTAAAATATATTTTGCGTTGAATAATTTATGGACGATCCCTAAACTAATAACTTTAATTTAAACACAAAATAACTAATAATTTATATTTCTTAAAACAGATAACATGTTCTAAATGTGTTATAATTATATTTTATATGAATAATATATATATATATATATATATATATATATATATATATATATATATATATATATATATATATATATATATATATATATATATATAGTAGAAAATAAAACTACGTGATTTTCACAACTTTAAGTTTCATGCTGTTGCAATTTTCACCTGATGAGTGTAAATCACGTAGTTTTATTTTCTACTATATATATATATATATATATATATATATATATATATATATATATATATATATATATATATATATATATATATATATATATATATATAATATATATATATATATATATATATATATATATATATATAGTAGAAAATAAAACTACGTGATTTACACTCATCAGGTGAAAATTGCAACAGCATGAAACTTAAAGTTGTGAAAATCACGTAGTTTTATTTTCTACTATATATATATATTATTGCTCTGTTTATCGAGCACTTTCTTGATAGTATATGCACAAAATAGCATCACTACATATATATATATATATATATATATATATATATATATATATATATATATATATATATATATATATATATATATATATATATATATATATATATATATATATATATATATATATATATATATATATATATATATATATATAATTAGTTTGTGTTAAATATGTTTAGTATATTCATATACATTCAATATATATATATATATATATATATATATACATATATATATATATATATATATGTATATATATATATATATATATATATATATATATATATATATATATATATATATATATATATATATATATATACATATATATATATATATATATATATATATATATAGTTATATTTTATTTTTATCTATTGTAAAAAAATGTCATAAATTCATGTTCAAAAAATCAGTTAAATTTCAACTATATTTCACTATCCAATTCAATGAAATATAAACAGTTAATAGAAACTAAGCCCTCATCAATTCAATTTAATTCAGTTCATATATATTCTGAAATAGTTGTTACATTCACGGAAGTTTACAAATAGTACATGTACTAATCTTAAGTAAAAACCTTGTAAATAAAAGCTAATAAATATATTGATTAATGCAAATAGTAATATTAATCATCCACAGCAGTAACAAAACGAACATTAAAAGTTGAAGGAGTAAAAATACTAATAAAGATAATAATAAAAGTTGTAGTTGTAACAGTAATAACAATACAATGATAAAAGTACAGTCATTATAATAAAAATAAAATGACTGAAATAAAAATAATTACAATAATCATAAAAAAAAATACTAGTAATTTAGTATTAGCCACATAGATACACACATATACAGACACATACAAATACACACATACAAACTTACGTTTACAAATACATATAAACACATATACTTATATCACTTGTATCATTCAATACAGGTATGTATACATTAATTGTATACAAACATAACATACACCCATATATATAGATTCGTATATACTATACACAAATAAACGTATATACACACAATTACATATACATACTCACATATACACACATACATACACATATACAAACATAGCATAACATAACACACATACATACACATATACAAACATGAATACATATACACACATTTGATAATATTATATATGTATATATTATATACACCAACACATATTCATCAGAAGTTTCATCTTCGTATTCATCATCGCTGTCACTACTTTTTTTGCTTTCGTTATGATGATGTTACAAAGTATTGGATGGCATTTCTGTTAGTAAACTTATTACTTCAGAATGATGAGAGAAATTTGGATGATTCTGTTTTTTTCTGTGTAAATTAATACCGGGTTTTTTGTTTTATTTTTATTTAGGTGCCCCAAAAAGTCCTTATGGTCCTTAGAAGAAGTCCTTATCACAATACACCGCAGATGAGCATTTATTTGGAAGTTCACACCTCCTTTCGAAGCTATGTTGCAAAACTTGCCCAGAGGTGGGGTTTGAACCACAAATCCTTTGTTTCTGAGGCAAATGATAGGATCTGAGGTATCTAAGACTCTATGAAAAATATATTCTATATTTTTTTACTCTGCTTGTTTTGTGAGCATGAAATTGTCTATCATGTTTATAAATTTTATTTCTTGCGTCAAACCCTTCTTCACCCTTGCATCAGACCATTCTTTCAAATGCTTGGCATGCAGTATTGCCGTCATTTGTACTTCCAAAACCTCCTACTTTTGGTTTATTCACTTGAAGGTTTAAATTTTCAAAAAACCGTTGTTTTATTTTTTTTTTTTACATATAACAATTTTCTTATTATTAGCACCGCGAATTTGCCATTTACACAATTCATAACTATATGATATATAGACGATGCATACAAAAGGTTGTATTCAAGCATGTAGTGGACTAATGCCATCCTGTAAAATATTAGGTTTAGGCTTAAATGATTCTGTTTTGAATTTCTGCACTTTACCAAAATCATTGGGAGTAGCTCCACATATCGGACAAGATTGGTTTGAATTTGTTCCAGTTAATATATTTAAACTTTTGCTATCAATTAGCGTCACAAATAAATGCTGATTTGAATTTTTTTATTATTAGACAAAAAAAATCGACATTGGCTCAAATTATTTATTTGTTCGTCAATATCCAGTTTTTCTTTCAAAATGTGTTATGTGGATTCCTTTATGTATTAAACTTTTAATAGTCTAGAAAATCGCACAGATTGAGGAGTGCGATTGTTCCATAAGATCTTATTATCTATGTCTATGTGATACAAAAGTTGTCACAAATAAATTTGAATCAGAATGACAGCCAGCAGTATTAAATTTTTGTTTATAGGCTGAATGCATGTAAACAAAAATTTATCATCATTATATCATCAGTAAATGTAATTTCTCTTTTCAACTGAATTTTTAATTTTAAATCGGCCCATTGTTCTTTGACTATCAGACCATTTTTATTCAAAGAAACTGAATGAACAATAAATTTTCTTTTGAATATTATTGCTAATAACTACTGTTATATCATTTCAAACTATTTAAATGACGTGCTCAAAAACATTTTCATCTTTCTTTTTCAGCCATAGAATAAATAAATTCTTGTATTTAAAACGGTACCTCACTGCAAACAAATAGATATATTTTTAATTGGGGCAACTAGGGGCAAGTTTTGAAAATTGGAATATATTTCCGAATATTAACAAAGTTCAATCGTGTAAAAATATTTTTGGAGATTTAAAGTTTTGAAAAAACTTTAAATCTCCAAAAATATTTTTTTCAAAAATTTAAAGTTTTGAAAAAAGTAATAAAAAAAGAAATACTTTTACGCACTTATTGATTTTTCAAAATTTTGTTTGCAAAAAGCTTTAAAAATGGTGTCTTTTAATAAAAAATCACAAATTTGGAAATATTAAAAAAATCGCTTATTTAAAAATATTATGAAATTTGCAGGGAAGACAAAAAACTAGCAGCTTGTTTGCTGTGTAAAAGCAAGATCTCATGTGGTGGAGAAGGAAAGCAAGTAAAACTATTATGTATATTATAACTAACGTATAATATAAAAAATTAAATATGTTTTAATAAAAGAAATTATTTACGCTGGTATTTTTTTTTTTATTTCTATTTTTTTTTAAGTATAAAAGAATGCCTTTTTTTGCACTACTGTGCAAAAACAAAAGACGCATTCTTTTATACATTATTTACTCACAGTAATGTTTACGTACACTTTTTTGTTTCCAGCTATGACTTCTCTGAAAAACAACATTCTAAACAAGCATTCTGAGCAGTACGCTAAGTTAACTGAAACTCCACTGGCAAGAGGAAGCAAATGTGACGGTTCGCTCAATTATACCAACTCTAATATACCAGCAGTAACAGATATGTTGAAAAAAGAACAGTTAACTCTGAAAGAAACAGCTGAAAGGTAATTGTGTTGGAATACTAATGATCCAAAATCAATAAAATATCAATACTTACTCGGAG